ATGAAACGATGTGGAACAAAACGATGTTATTTGAGGGCCTGCTGTACTCTGATCTCTTGGGCTTGTTTCCTTATCTGTAAAAGGAGAGTACCGCCTCACTAAGGGAACAGGATTGTGTGTGTGTGTGTGTGTGTGTGTGTGTGTGTGTACATACATATGAATGAATGAAGCAAAACCCTGGCCATACCTTCCATGCATTAACTCACTATAACACACCGGCATAGATAACAGGTGGCTGCCAGATATTCTTGAACAGTGACGAGAGGTTGGAAGTAGTTTAGGAAGATAAACTACGCAGCTATGTGCAGGGTGGTGAGAGGGGTTAGGTGAGAGGCAGGGCACCCAGGTCAGAGGGTGGCTGTTACATGTGGTCCAGTGATGAAGAACAAGGCCCTAGCTTGTGGGACACGCATTGGGGGACAGGAGGGAATTGGAGGGGACTGAGGGTGAAAAGCACAAAATGCCATATTCTCAGCATATTATCCATGACGAGTGGGAGAATTTTAAGAATTAAGTGCCACATTCATTTAGAGATAATTTGTCACTGTGGGGGGAAATGATTACGTTTAAATCATACTTTTTGGGCACGGAGTTAAAAGTAGCTACCATTTCTGCCTGCTGCCCCTCAAGCTGTAAAAGACCAATTGGATGTTTGAAAATACCTAAAAGAAACATACTAATTAAGAGAAAGTGATTGTTTCCTAAGAGCTTCATTATCTCAAGAGGGAAACTGAATACCACAGATGAGGCTAACAAATTGGAGATAATTTTACAAGGGAGAGGAAAGGGAGAGGAAAACACTGTTACGTGATCTCTGGGATTCCTCTGAGCAGAAAGTTACAGACTTTCAGCAGCCTATCTTCTTAGCTTTTAAGCATCTTCAGAGAGTTAATGATACAGAGCTTTGCGAGCTCTGCCAAGGTGGGAAAGCTTAGCTGAGTGGAGCGGAAGGCATCAGGCTCAAGTGCCTTCCTCTGTTCCAACTCAGACAGCAAATCCGTATCTTCAGTAGGAGGAATAGGCTTGTTTTTCTCCTGGCTTTGGCTTTAGAGAAACAAGAGGAAACATCCTGATAGCCAACATCTTTAGTGAGAGTCTCCAGCCACCTGTTTTTACTTCTAGGCATCCCTTCTATCTGACAAGGCATGCTGGGGCAGAGCCTCAGAGCCTTTCCGAAAGGCCAGGGACAACAGGAGGGGCAGCCTGTCACAGCCATTCCACCAGAAGGGAGATGCACCCTGCCCTAGATTGGGGGACACGGAGTGAGAGTCTGCGCTGGGGTGATTTGTCGGCCATCTCTAGGAAGACCTCTGAGGTTCTAAACTAGAAGGTACAAAGAGTTGGGCGGGAATTTTGGTCTGAATGAAATCCACTAAAATAACATTTTCTACAACTTCAACGCATTAGTTCTTGTAAAGGGAAAATGATTCCTTTATATTAAGGAATTATATAAAATGAGTCCTTTATGTTAAGCATTTTGCTAGTAGCTAGCCTTCCTTGAAAATAATCAAGCCACAGAGCTTGAAATAATTTTAAATATCTTGCCTTTAAATCAGGCAAAACTGGTGGCTCTTTCCTAATCATGCGGCATGAGTTAAAACGTATTTTGTGGAACTAGGACAAGATTTGGCATCAAAGAGCCCTCACAGTTCAAATCCTTGCTTTACACTTCACTCTGATTTTGAGCAAATTACTTAATCCTTCTGGGCTTGTTTCCTTATCTGTAAAAAAGAAGTCTACCTCACTAAGTGGTGCTGGGTTTTATGTCCTCTCTCTGGGGGCGTGCACATACAGGACTGGGCACGCTAGGTAGCCATCAAAAGGACCCCAAGGACAGTTCCCAGGCCCTACACCTTGTATCCCCCCACCCCCCCACCCCCACACAGAGTGTAACGACAGGTGTCTAGGAAGTGACTCAGGAGGTGGAGGGCAGAAGAACAAGAGGAGGCTTCCCATACAAGTGTGGGAAACAAAACTTGAGGGTTTCATATATAAGTGCACTCAGACAATGAACTCATCCTTGTGCACCAGTGGCAGATAGAAGCAGAGTCTTTCCCCCTTCCCACAGGCTCTCAGGATGCATGTCTAATTAAGGCTCATTTCCTTCCCGGTTTATCCTCACTTAGTCACTGTAACAAGAGATCATCTCTAAACTACAAGTCAGCACCAAGTGATGTGATCTGCCCTCCCCTGTCTCACGGCACCAACCACAATGACTCAAGGGGGAACCAAAATCTATTATAACTCTAATAATGGTAAAAAAACAACAACCCCGGGCTGGCCGAGTGGCGCGATGGTTAAGAACTGGCTTGGGACGCCAGAGGGCCCCGGTTCGGATCCCACATATGAGGGCCAGTGACACTGCCCTCTACAGCTAAGATGCTGAACAACAGCTCAACCTGGAGCTGGGGTGCCATGAATCGCCGGCGACGGCATAGTCTGCAGCCCCTGTGGCAGTGGGTTGCCATGGGCTACCGTGTGTAACCAGCAGCCAGCGTGAGCAGCCAGCAGCCGCAGTGAGCGGCCGACCAGAAGCCGGCGACTGATCTGCCTTGCCTGGGAAGAGCGCAATGATGGTGCCAACTTGGGCCAGTGAAGCGATGTCCTCCACAACTAGACTGAAGAACAAAAGGACAGCAACTTGTCTGTTCCCCTCCCCCCAATTCCCCAGCATTGTTCCCATCCCCCCAATTCCCCAATTAAAAAAAAAATCTTAAAACAAAAAAACAAAAAAACAACAACCCCAAACTCCAGCTTTTATGTCTTTCTTTTGACAATGCAGCCTGGTAGATGTTTCTCTTTGACGTTTTTGAATAAGTGATAGCTTTTCAATACCTGGATTGTTTCAGTCTGGGTTTTGTTTTGTTTTTAAGACATCATGAGAAATACTTATCAGTACCCAAGATTTCACCATCATGACCCCAAACCACCTCGATGGTACTGTTCCATACAAACAACCACAGGAACAACCATTTAGATTTCTAATTTATTATTAAATTACATAACAAAGCTTCTTCCATACAGTCAGAAAATGCATTTAGATGAGAACAAAAAATTAAATACACATACAATAAAACTGGTTCCAAGAAGCCATTTTAAAAGCAAAAAATTAGAAAGTGCATTTGAAATAGATTTTTAAAAATCTGTATTGGCGTTTGGCATGAGGAAACACCTCCCATCATGGCAAAGTGTGACTGGAATTGATCTCCCTCCACCTCTGAGCGAGAACAGGAGGGCAGTAAATGCAAAGACTTTGATCCTAAAGTGAGAACTTACAAAGGAAATGAGAAGGATTCCTTAAGACATGGTTCAGCTTTGTCTCAGCTTCTTATCCAGTAAACATCCTTTAAGAGTCGCTTGTCCCTTCCTCACTTTCTTTTCCCCAATAAAACTGAAGGATATACAGATTTATAAAGGAACAGCAAGATGGCTTTAGAAAGACCACGAGGAGAAGCTCTGCATCCTTCTGGAGACCAGGCTGAACCACCCCTGGCCCCAAAGGAGAATGGAACACACCCAGGTGAATTTTCTGCGTGGAATCTATCTGCTCGTTAGTTACATTTGCCACAAAATTCAGAATAACACTAGACATGGCCATTTACCCTCAACAGCTTAGTACTACAGGCTAGAAAACTCAATTTCCAAGAAATAGCATCAGCTAATGATCCAACACGAGGTATCAGAAAACTAAAAAGGCCAGTCCAGTTCTTTCAAGACCTTTTCATCAGGTTGAGATTAACAGTGAAATAGAAAATTAATGGTGGTGGGAATGAAAGTCCAAGGTGCCTCAATTCCAAAAGTCATTATAGCAAAAGGCTCAATTTTTCTATTCAGATGTATTCAGCACCCAATAGCAAAGAACTAAATATTATTTGGTTCAAGGTACAAAAAGTGCCCTCATGATGTCTCCTCTTATCACCCATCTCCCTTCTCAGGATTTTACTCCTATGCCTGATCTGAGTACTAGGCAGTATGGAACAGGCATTCTCTGTAAAAGTGAATCTTACAGGAGGAATAGTGTAGCAGGAAAGCCCTTTTCCTAACATTAGAAAAATAAAGGGAGAGCAATGCAGGTTTACAGGGAATCCTTCAGCATCTAACAGTAATAAAAAAGAATGCAGAGATATCCAGGACAGATCAACTAAAGCACTTGGATATTTGGGCTTGAACTTGAGTTAATATATTAATTATTAAATATATATTTGTTTACTAAAGTTATCAGCACACACAGAAACAAGATCTCAGAAGTGTACCTTTGGGAATTTTCTGCCCTTCATGTTTCCATGATTTTTCATACTTTTTAGTGAAATGGAAAATTTTGAATGGTTACAAAAAAAGATCTCTAAAAGAAAGATTCATTATATAAAAAATGGCTGAGGGAAAACACTTGCGCTAATCGGCAACATTTGGGACTAGGAATAGAAAATTCTGACTTCCCAGCTCTGACTGGCTCTCACAAAAGCTTACTGTTGACTCCTGGGTCTAGCAACAGGTCTGTAAGGACAGCAAAAAAGAAAACCAAGATGGCCAAAAAAAAAAAGAAAAAAGTAAAATGGCATGAAACTGAGAGCTCAAATCAGTTCCCATGGGATCCGACTTGTAATGGCACACTTCCATTTCCTTGCTCTAGGGTTTCTTTCTGCAAATGAAGCAAGAGGAAAGGGGGAGCACTGCCCTAGCTATCTACATTTGGCCCCAGGTCACCTCACTATGGGCTACAGCAATGGGAGGTTAGTCAGGCCTCTCTGACACCAACATCTACACCACGCTTTTTCAACTTCCTTGGAAGAACTAGTTTTTTTTATTTTCGTAAAGAAAATAACCAACACAATTTTGTTACTTCACTTAAGCAGAACCCTAATGGAAAGGCTCATGAGTCATCGAAAGTGTTTGCGTACGTAGTTGCAGCAAGCTAGACTAGCTCAGGTTCTAGTTTTACTGTCACACAATCAGCTTCGATGAATGCACCAAATAATCAGACCAGTAGAAAAGACTGGTAGTACAATTAAATAAATAATTTTATTTATGATACTTCAGATTTTATAAATGCCAACTCTATAGCAACCAAAGTCCCATAAATTCTAGCTGAGGCACAACCACCAATCAAGGCCCTTTGAAAAATCAAAGATAGTAAAGTGTCAGGGGAGAAAAGTTTTGTTCTCCTAAATAGAGAATTTAATAAATGAGCTTATTTCCCTGCTCGTTGAAGGTTCACATTGGGAAAACTCAGACCTTCTTTCAAGGGCACCCCCAATCAATAACTGATCAATCAACCCATATTTAGAAAAATAAACCCCACAGTTAAAAAAAATATATCAAGTGCCCTTCACACCCAGAACATAATAAAACTTGGACACCAGAATGAAAAACCTCGGTCTCTGTATCAGACCATGGGTTAGTCTACCCGTCAGCCTGTGTGTCAAGTTCACCTGAACGACACCATCGACACATTATGACGTAGTTAAGAACTACATGCTATTTTCCTTTTAGTCCCCATGGCGCAATCTGAAGCCATTACTGTAAATACCATAATAAATTCCACTAATGAAAAGCAGCCTTCTTTCTTGGTAAGGATTGTAGATGTTGGAAGTCTTCAAACTATTTGTGGTAATTCAGTTAGACAAGTAATGAATTTACAGAAACTGAGAAATGGTGAAACTTGGAAAGGATTCTGGTGAGTGGTTTAAATGTCACTGTCCAAGGATGATAATAGAAGACAGGTGCAGACAGAGATAGATTCTGTCACATGTACCTTCAACAGTTGAAACCACTCTCTGGATGTTTGGAAAAGCTTAACAGGTTTGGAATGAACAGGTGTTCACAGCACACAGACTCCTGGTACATAAAGCTTTTGCACATAAATTGTGGGGCATGTACAAATGGAATTATCTGAATGGTGACCCCTCAATCAACGTCTTTTTTACATGTGGCTTGTTGAACAGCTCTCACTGAAAATTGGGCGGTCCCCTCACTCAATTACCAGTGTTAATCCTGACGTGAGGAGGAATAGTTGGGGACACTGACAGACATTGGCTATTAGTTTCTTTTGTCAAGGCAGAATTGAGATTTCATTTTCTTGTCATGGCAAATATTAACCCAACGGAAGAAATAAACAAAAAAATCAAAATAATAACTGAATCCTTTAAAAAAAGAAGCCTGTCATTCTTGATGTTTTCTAGCAATACCGTTAACCTCAGTGTGCGCACAATTAAAAAAAAAAAGAAAAACGCATTTTTGCAGTGTGTCTTCTGTTTCAGACAACCTCAACTCTGTTGAAGCAGGACCATCAGCATCTTAAAGAATCTGTGAAAAATGGAATTTTCCTTGAATACCAAAAGAGTTGGGGATACAAAGTAAAAATTTATAGCACAGATTATCAAGAAATGAATTGTGATTTCTCATCATGAGTGTAAAATAAATGGACAAAAACTGTTTTTGTTCACAACCCAATCTGGTGGCCGGAAGGAAAGCAGTCTTTGGATACGGAGAAACTTGGTTCCCTCAAGAGTCCGGCTAGCTGGGAGACCTGGCTTGTCATCAGCCTCCCACACTATCACTGAAGCACAGAAACTGTTTCTGTCTGGTTTACTTACCTCCTGGGGAGACAAAAGCAACTGAAAACTTTTTTCTTTTTTTTCTCTCTCTCTTTTTTAAAACTAAAAACAGAAGGAAGTGTGTTAGAAAAGACAGCACAGAAAAACTGGCTTCAGCTCAACCTGACCATGTCACAGAGTCCATCGCTATCAGTCTTGAATTAAACCTGCTGGTCAGGCTAATTATCAGGGCAATCAACTTCTCCTTCCTACTTTTCCTTATTCCAGATCAGGGCGTGGAAGTGGTGGTTGTCAAGAGTCTCTGGAGACATCCCATCAATGGAAAGCATAGAGCAGCAACAGGATGGTACAGACACCAATAATACCACCCAGGATGAGGGAGTCTCGCCGCTTCCTAAGGTTGATCCGCTGGATCAGGCTGTTCACAGCAGGAAAACGATCTTTGAGAAATCTTTATTAAGGTCATTATTTGGAAGAAGCCACTTTAGTGAAAAGTCACATAAATCATAAACACAGAGATCAGTGGAGTCCAGAAACAATAGATGGGAAGAAAACCACACTGAGAGAGTCTAGCAAACACACATGCCCAAACTGGAAATGCCCAGGTCCCAAACAAATCCAAATCTCCTACTACACTGCAGTACACAAGTAAGAATAATGAAAAGAAAAAAGAAATAAAACGAGAGGGAGGAGAAAATAACAGTAACACCTACCATATATTGAGGGATTACTGCCAGGCTTTAGGTCAGGGTGGGAGGCAGTGTGGTCAGGAACAGAGGAACCCTGCACGGCAGAGAGGCAGAGGAGGCATATGTACAGCCAGCTACTGCCACCATCATCCCCACTGCAAACCACTGTTCCTTTTCTCCCTCCCTCCCTCTCACCCTCCCTCCCTCCCTCCCTCCCTCTCTTCCTTCCCTTCCTCCTCCTCCTCCTCTTCTTCTTCTCTCTCTCTCTCTCTCTCAATTGGCTGAAACCAACTCCTGAGTCTGTATAGTCATGCACTGTTAATTACTTAACATTTTTTATTTTCTTTGGCATCAGTAGGCAGGACATAGTAGAAAAGTAGTTAAACTGCTCTAGCTGACTTATTTTGGGGAACTAAAAAAAGGAAGACAGGAAAATTTCAGTTTTAGGGGTGTTATAGCAGTCATAACTGTATTTTACTTAGTATTTCAAAACATCTTCATACTTTTACTTGTTTGTATGTTGTAGGCCAAAGTGCATGCCTGTGTTCCCTACAGTGTTTTGCATTTCTAGCAATGGTTTCTGACTATCCACCTGCAGGTGTATCCTCTTCGTTAACAGAGGTATTATATCAAGGTCAGGAACACCACCAAGCAAATCGCCTAGGATACCAGAGAGCTGGAACAACCCTGCTCCCTGCGAATCCTCACTGAATTTTCCTGTAGCAAAATGACTCCCAGCAGAGACTATATTTGTATATTTATGTATCCTACATATTGTATGATGAGGACCATGTTTTCTTCTAATCTTGAATTTCCCTGTGCACCCAGAATTGAGCTTTATACACTGTAGGCATTAATGTGTTTTTGAATTGATAAAAAAAGAACAACTTGCAGAAATAATTCTTAAAATGCAGAACAGGAAGCATGAAGTAACAGGCAAAAACTTCTACAAGGTACAAATCTCACATATAAGTAGAGCAAATCTCATATAGAAGTCTTGATTTCTCTTGCCTTGCTTGGTAAAAAAAGGATCCACAGTCCCCTTAGAGAAAGCATGAAAACTTTTGGCGTTAGGAAACTCTATCTATAGTGGACCTATTTCTGTCCAGTTTCCTTTAGGGAACCTCCCGTCTCTTTATCATAATCTAGTTCAGTCCATGGGACAGGGTGGAGATGACCTTGTTCTCTGCCATCAGGTGTACATACAGCCCCGGGATTGGTCAGGAAGAATACGCCCTCCCCTTGGCCAGTGACTGGGGGAACTACAGTCTTCTTGGGACGCTGCCACAGCTGTTAGAAAAGACATCATTTTTTCAGGGGGATTTTTGAACTTGTAGGAGATGACTCTTATAGCCATCTCTACCACCATGAGGAGAAAATCTGTCTGAAAATGAGGCCAACACACAGGAAAACAGAAATAACAGGTAGGTGTGGGGAACAGAAAAAGGAAAGGCAGATTCTTGACTTAATAAAATCTGAGCCCCTGAATCTAGCCATGCCTTAAGCCAAATTCTATCATGAATTTTACAGATATATGAACAAATTAATTCCCTTCCTTTCCCCCTCGAGTCTGTCTGAATTCAGTTTCTGTCACTAACTCTCTATGGGGTCCTGACTAACACACATTTTATTGCATTATTTTTTTAACACACATTCTTTTGGAATGATTGTAATTTGTGGTAATGCTAAAATGAGATAATGTATGTAACAGTACTCTGTAAACTGTATAGCCCTATATAAAATATACATGATTTTGGATGTGAGATTTTGTATTTAGGGTGACAAGGCAAGAACAAAATTCACAAAAAAACCAATACACTCAGAATATTCTTTTCCTCAGGCAAGTAAGGTATCAAACTAAAAGTGTCTCAGAATTACCTAAGACAAAGAATACTCAACTTCTGAAAATTATATAGGTCCTTTCCCCCTTAGTAATTGGTGAAGGAAATCTTTTTCCCTAAAAGTCTTGACTTCTCAGAGAGTAAACAGGCATATCAGTTTTCTCAGAAGTATCAATAATACTAATTTAAATTGGGAAACTGAAGAATTAAAAAGGTAGAGATCACAACAAACAAGTAGCAAACCTATCCTAGAGTTCAGCTTGTGTATAACAAGTCACAATGAAAATACTCCATCTACGCAGATGGCTGTCGCCTTCCGTACCCTTCTAAGCATTTGCCACGGACTTATTCTCCCAACTGCAAAAAGAAGAAGTATATAATTTATGGTGTTTAGGTAAGAATAATGTACATTTGTGGAGTTCTAACATGGATATGAGAGCTTTGAAAATGTACAATAATTTGAAAATTCGCATTTATAATTTTTTTCTCAATCTACTAAAAATAAACTTCTGGTGTACAATCTTTTAGAAATGGTACTAAACAGTATGAACTTTCATAAAGTAGGAATGCAAGGTCTATTCATATTATGTGATTAGTGATTGGCCTCTTCTGCTACTGATGATGGCAACCTGCTGTGTGTGTGTGTGTGTGTGTGTGTGTGTGTGTGTGTGTGTGTGAGAGAGAGAGAGAGAGAGAGAGAGAGAGAGAGAGAGAGGTGTGTGTGTGAGAGAGAGAGAGCGAGAGGTGTGTGTGTGTGTGAG